ACCAGGAGACCGGGATTTGGATACAGGAGTTGGGCCCTTGCTGCAGAGCCAGCATTTACCTAGGACATTGCAAATCATTCTAGAAATCTGGCCTCTTTCAAATTCTACATGATTTATTTAAAGTCAACAACAAACAAGCCATTCCATGAAGGAGTGAGCCCTTTCCAAAGAGAAGAGGACTATGTCAGTGCAATCTCTGCACTGGAACTAGGCAGCAGTCCTTCTGCCCACCTGTGACTATGCAGGTGCTTCTTTCACCAACTCTCTGTCCCTCCGCAGGGCAGCAGCCTTCTTGCCTGCCCGTGACCTGTACCATGCCAAGGCTTCCCTTCACTGACCTCCCTCAGCAGAGGCCACTCTCCTCAAGGCCACCAGCCTGCGACCTTGCGGGCCTCTCTCAGCTCTTCCTTTTGGGGCAGCTCTTGCTACCCACTTGTGTCTATGCAAGTGTCCTTTATTCTTCTGTCCCCTTTCCCTAACAAAACTGCTCTTTAAATATAACTATTGTCTCTGTCTCATGGAGAAACTCACCTGGGAAACTCATTGTGTGTCGCTGAAAGGGGAGCTCTGGTGAAATCTTTCCCAGAGTGAACCCAAAGACCCCGCACTCCAAACCCATCAACTCCAAAAACGACATCATCATGGCACTGAACGAGGTATGCCTCCATGTCAGCCAGCAAAATAAGACCAGTGCCTGTCTGGAGCACTTTGTGTGCAGGATTTGCCACCTTGCACACTTCCAAGGGGGTTTGATAAGGAAATGAGTTCTGAGAACTCCTGGGTGGACTGGATTAGTCTGGAGGATAGGGAAGGTTTCCTTGAAGAAATATTTGAGCTGACAGCTGTACAACAGAAAGGATGAAGTAGGCAAATGGGGCAGGAGTGGCAGCAGCAACTCAAGAGAGGATTCCATGCAAAGGATGCTCCTCCTTGACCTGGGGTCTGCAAAGGCAGAAAGAAGGTGGCCAGTGCCACTGAGGACAGAAGTAGGGGTACTAGTCTGGGATGAAGTTGGGGAAGTTGCCAGAGCAGATGACAGTGGGGAGGGGGTCTTAAGATCTTGCTGAGGATTCAGGTCTTTATCCTAAGAGAAATGAGATGGCAAGAGGTTTTAAGCAGGGGAGAAGGGTAGTTTGGGGAGTGAAGGACATGATCACATTTGCATTTTGAAATGCTCACTGCAGCAGCTGCTGTGAAGAGAAGGAGCTATGGGTTCAGAATACATTGGGGGCCCAGGGTAGAGATTTGGATGTAAAATTGGACTGGGGAGCTCAGAGTAGAGAGTCAAACAAATGGATTTACCAACTAGTTCACCAAACCAGATGGATGGGTGGTGCCATCTGGAAAGATGATCAGATTTGAGTGAAAAGATCCTGAGATCAGCTCGGAACATAATGGATTTAGGGAGACTTTGAGGCCTCCAAGTGGAAAGGTCAATGATAGATGGGCCTGGGGTGGGGATGGCTATTTCAAGAGCCATCTGCATACCACATGGATGAGATTGCTTTACATCATTTACGGTCACCTCCTCTCTCCAGTTGAGCCTGTCCCCATGCAGGGAGGGCAGATCTCTGCTGCCTCGGGCAACCCCTTAAGCCTCAGTACCTGCTCCCGATGCTACAGGGCCTCTTGTATCATTGTGTGGCCAGTCTCTTCATATCTTCTCCACTAACAATCCAGGAACACCTTGGGGACAGAGACGCATGGCTGTCCTTCAGCACATGGAGCAGACCTCGCTCTTAAGTGAGCAGTAAGATACAGGCCCACTTTGTGGCCCAACTCAAAGCCCTGTGCTGTGTTGCTCTGGAAGTGGGAGAGCATGTAGGCCCAGATCCAAGAACCTCATCTAAAAACCAGTGTTTTCAGAGGGGAAATGGTCTCCCATTCCGTATCTCTGTTTCCGAGAAACCAAGATGGGTACTGAAGAATCATAAACAGAGCATGGCATTCATAGCTTCTTGCTACTACTAGAGAAGCAATAAGCAGATATTTATTAGGGGTGTACATATGTATTAAAGGCTACTTATGTGCAAAGCACAAGTAGAGAAAATAAGTAAGCTCTGTCTTCAGTTGCTTCTAATGCAACCTTTTACTCAGAACTCAGTGCTCTGATCATAATTCAAAATCAAGTTATACATTATTCCATGTGAGGTATTTACAAGAAAAACAAAGCTCTAGCCTTCAAGGAATTTATAATCTCAAGAAAATACAACAAACATAGATGAAAAATTAATTTTATTAATACACACACAGCCACCCTACCCTCTCAGTGGGAAAAGGGATTCTTCTTCCAGACACGGCCCTCAATGGGTCATGTGACTTGGCTGGATTTCAGCCCTATCTCCCTGCACGGGGCAGGCACCTTTGTACAACCTGCGCAGATCGCAGGGAGGCCCAATACAGGGTGGGCAAGTCAGGGACTAGGCCAAAGTAACAGGGAAGGAAAGACAAAACTACTAAAGGAATGGCAGAGGCATGTCCATGGACAAATCAGGTTTGATCAAGGTGAAAGGTGCACCTGGTGGCAAAAGGAAATGAGATTGGGGATTTGGGGAGTGTTATAGAAGGCCCAAATGCCAGGCTAAGGAGCATTTGTTTACTTGACCTGTAAGAGCTGAACCTTGTCCAGGGACTTCATTCTCTGCAGTGGTTAATTTTAGGTGTCAATTTCTGTGGGTCACAGAGGTGCTCAGATTAAACACTCATTATTCCTGGGTGTGTGTCCATGAGGATTTTTCCAGCAGAGATTAACATTTGAATCAGTGAGCTCAGTAAAGTAGATTGACTTCCCCAATGAAGGTGGGTGGGCTTTGAGCACCTGAATAGAACAAAGGGTTGAGGAAGGAGGAATTTGTCCCTTTATCTGCTTCACAGTTTAAGCTAGTCCATGTTATCTCATCTTCTGCTCTCAGACTGGGGTTTACCTCACCAGGACCCCTAGTTCGCAGGCCTTCAGACTTAGAGTGAATTATAACACTTGTTATCTTAGGTCTCCAGTTTACAGAGAGCAGACCATGGGACCAACTACTCACAATAAATCTTAGACAAACAGGTATTTCGATAGATGGGTGGGTAAATAGATAGACAGATAGAGAGATAGAAACAGCTAAAGATTTCTCTATGTAGACAGATATCCTATTAGTTCTGTTTCTCTGGAGAATCCTATTACTGTCTCCTTTCCCCAAAGCAATGCCTTCCCTGCATGGTTGGCTAGAAGCACCAATGCTCACCAAAGTGCCCACTTAAACTTGAAAGTTCACTGAACAATTTAACAACTAAATAATATCTTTGTGCTGACTTGAAACCTCAAATAATAAGTTCCAACCCCTTGCATTTGTAACTGACCTGAAACTTTTATTTTATGCCTAACATATTTGTTTTCATAATAGTCTTGTTATAGGACAGGGAGAGGGGCAGCCCAAACCCCTCAAACCTGCCTATTCTAAATGGGTTCTGCCATCCGCCGCATCAACACAAAAACATATGAGACTTTAATGGGAAGGAACTTTAATACAACTAGGAAAACAATACAGGAAAGGCAAAGATTCTAGTTTCTAAATGAAGCACCCAAAGTTACCCGTCCCCTCTTGTGTAAAACTCCATCCATATGGGATCGGCCCAGAACAAGGCCCCAAAGCCTGCTACAAGTCTAAAGCATCTTCCAGTGGGGACCCACAGAAAAGGGTCAGAAACAACCAGACAAGCCCGGAAGGAAAAGAGCAAAATCAACATCAAGATAAAAGCTGCCATGGTCACCTCCCCATGGGTCTCACCCACATCTGTGTCACTCAGTCCATGACCAAAAGACAAGCACAGTTTCTTCACGTGTCTCTAGGTTCCATGCGCCTCCTCCAGGTCTCCTGGCTCCATCCTGCTTCCTTCCTCAGTCTCTTCTGCCACTTCTCCTCTTCCTGCTCAGCTCCACCCTCCCTTGGGTGGGGCAGGGAACCTCCCCCTTTCCTGGGGACCACCCTGTTACAGTCTCACTGAATTAAAAGGATGAGAAAACAGAGAAGTAAAGGATTTTGGCAAAGGTCAAAAAGAAAATGTACCGTGGCAAAGCTGGGACTGAAACCCAGGTCTCTTGGAATCCAGTGCTCAAGGGCGCTGAGACTCCCTGCACTTGCTGCACTGGCAGCATCTCCCTCCTCCACCAGCCACCACACTGACCACTTATGTCTGCCAGCCCTGGGTCCTTTCCAAGAAAAGACAAAGCTTCCAAACAAGCAGTAATAACATTGATCATTCCAAGCTGAGACAAGGGCTTCTGGATCATTTCCTTAAAATACTTGCTCAGCAGCACCCTTGCCCTCACCCCCAGCACCCCTCCATGCAAGAAAGAAATGCATGGTACTTCATTAACACGAAGGGGAAAATAATTCCCTGTGGATTTTTGCAGTCTCATTTTCCTAGCTTGTCAAATGCCAGCAGCAAGCCAGTCTGGCTGCATTGTTAGCTTGCCTGTATCTTATTTTGTTTTGGAGATTGCAGCAACCTTTTTAACCCCAACTAGGCAAAAAACATATCACCTTTGAGCTTCTTGGTTTACCCAAAAGATTTACCTGTATTCCTTGGACTTCATAATATATTGTTCTCTTTGCCTATCACAAGTCATATTTTTTTCTCCAAGGAAGAACTTCAAAGTTATTTTTAAGACCATACTACAGCTACAAGATATGTGATCAAAATATACTTTAGATAAATAAATGGATGACTTTCCAATATGTTATGCAAAGCATACAAAGCATGCTGTTCAAAAGCTAATTTTCAGTTATCATATTTACATTGACAACCCTCACCCCTTTTTTTTCTGCTTTACCCATTTGTTCTTATGGATTTGGGAATGAAAGAGGATTTGTCTCTTTTTCTCAAAGACCCACTCTGACTGTTGAGTTTCTCCACACCTGAGTTCACACATCTCCCACATCATGACAACTACCTCCATGGCAACCACTCATGACATCATAACACAATATTATAGCAGAATAAAAAGAGCTACTGAGACCTTGTTGGATGCAAATGCCCTGTGTGATCTAAGAGGCTCCAAGGCAGGTATGAAGGGGATTTTATCCTGGGATTTTAGCAGAAAAGTATTGAAATTTCTCCTCATACCACAATATATATTGGATTTCTAAGCTTCTTGCTGCCTAGAAGTCTGAACACAGTCAAAGGGCCATGACATTTCTAAAATGGCTCTGGGGCACCAGCAGCAGAGAGCAAACTAGTGGGACCAACACATTTCAACCTAGAGAGATAAAATCTTTAACCACAATGACAACTCAGCAGGTATTTCTGATGGTCAGAAGAGGGGCTCTTGAAATGTCTCTATAGTTTTGTAGAAAAAAATGTGTTTCTGTTAAGTCTTATTCTTGTACTCTTTCTTACCCAAAGTCATGAATTACCCAAACCCTCAAGCCAAGGTTAACAACTATTTATAACTGTGGACAGCAGCCAAAAAAAGAGTGGGCACATCATAAGGAAGTGACATGTACATCACACAAAATTCGGAGGAAATAATGGAGGTGCTGCGTTGTAAAATAGCGGCGAGAGGAATGTTAGCATCCATTTTGCTCTGCAAACAGTCCTGATTGGGGGACTTAAAATTGTATTCTAAATGCTCCTAGATACATCAGGCCTCTCAAAAAGCACCTTAAAGTGCATTATATACTAAAACTACTATGGCTTCCTCATGCTTACCCCCTTCTTTTATAGGATATTATTATAAAATTTAGACTGCTTTAATCTCTGTGATTGAAAAAAAAAAGAAAGGAAAAATGCAGCTTGAGAGGAACTGATCTCACAATCTGGAGCTAAAAAGTAAACATTACCCAGTAAGCTCCTCCGTTTAATTATTGGCATGTGAATTTCAATTTACATATGTTTTAATTATCCACAGAAGGACTCACCTATTTTCTTCTGCATGCAAAATTTAAAAAGCAAAAAGAATGGAAGAGGAAAGGCTCATTTAAGAGGAATCCAAGAATTCATCTTTACATTCTTTTCATTTTTTCCTGACTTGGAGGATAAAGCGTTTGATCTTAGAGAAACACTAATTTTGACTTCATGAACACAAACCAATTCTGACCATTGTTTTAGCCAACAGATCTCAGAAGGATAGAGCTCTAGCAGAGGGCTACACAGAATTTTGCATGAACAAAATACACAACTGTGTTTCCACTTGACATGTAGGGAATCAAACTGCAAGAATATGTTTGCTGATTGGTGAACGAGTTGGTGAGTGAGAGAAGTTTCAGGCTTTTAAATTTCACTTGTCCAACTTGGGTTGTCAATTTCCACCAAACAAAAAAAAAGAAAGAAAGAAAAGAAGAAAGAAAAAAAATGAATTTTAATTGACTATCATTTGAAAAATATACCACATCTGATTTCTAAAAAGTAGAATTCTAAAAACAACTGGGCACTGTCAAGCTTCAAGAAACCTTTGCATAACTGTGACTGACTTATCACAGGTAAGTCCCATCTAAGGAGAGAGAACTTTCAATCATGAAGGATTAACCTTTTTTTAAGATTGGCGCATCTTACTCCAAGCACACAAACCAGTCAATATTTATTCAAGGGGGTCTACCTGAGATCCTGCAATGGCAAGGAACTCTGCCAAATACTTTGGGGGATAAAAGAGATGTCAGTACAAGATTCTTAGGGTGATAGGAACTCTATATACATGTAACTCTGTGTACAGAGTTACAGTCAGTATGTGCTTTGAAAATTCTAAGGAGCAGAAGAGCACTTTTAAGTAATGGGGACCATTGTTGGCGTCTTAGAAATGCAATGGTTAATCTGAGAGGATTCAGCAAAAATCAATGGAGAGACATATCATAGTCAATGACCCAGAGACAGAATCCTGGGATATATTTAGAGTAATGAGCAGAGGGCTGGCTTTGCTGTGTGTCTGTTGTGGTCAGTGTGCAGAACAGAAAGAAGATCTTGAGGGTCAAAGCCATGTACTCAAGAATAGACTATCTGGTCAACCTATAATGCTAGGATCTGAGTGGGAGTCAGAGGAGAGAAGGAAAGGGTGTGAGGGCTTGTTGTGAGACAAGACATTCACAGTTTAAGATAGAGATGCAGTCACCATAAATTTCTCTGGCAGCAGTGAAGAAATAGAAAAGAAACATGGTTGATTATTAAGCTGTTGGACTCTCAGAACCTGCACAACTTTGTCCTGTTGGCCTGGAAGGAGTTTTCCGAGCACTGCAGAGGTACAGCATCTTTTATCAGGCAGCACCTGATAAGTGCTTCTGACACTTATACCAACCAAGATGTACTAGAATGCACTGGCTGCTGCTTCTGGGAGGACCAAACCCAAAGACAACTTGCTAGGAAGCATTTGCCTCCCAACCCCAAAGTCCTTAGGTCTTTAGTAAAACTGGGGACACTTGGCAAGGTCTTTTGTCCCCAAGGTAATGATTGGAGGGCACTGGGCTGGAAGTCAAGAGAGTGAGTGCTGGCTCATCCTGGCCTAGGAGCTAACTCCCTGGGGACTTTGGGTGAGCTTCTCTTGAGCCCCAATTTCATTGTTAAATGAGGAAGTTGAACCAAATTCTTGTTTCTGTGTTTTGCATCCTGTGAGTTAGGATAAAGTGAGTACCCCAAGTTCTTGCAGTTATGTAAAAGTAAGAACCTAGACCAGATCCTGTGTCCCCTGAGTCATCATTATGGTGTTCACAACACCGGGCTACAGGGGCAGGAGATATTAATGGAAACAGTGACATTCATTGAAAGGCTTCAGTATGCCAGCATGTCTATACTCTATCTAGCTAGACCTCATAGCAATCATTTGAGTTGTAAAAACTTTACAGATGGCAAACAAACAAGAATGATTAAGACATTTGCCCATAATAACAAAATTAGTAAATGTAAAGCCAGGATTTGAAGTCAGACATTCCAATTCCAGGACCCAATATCTTCATCTCTTCTACGCTCCATACTGCACAGCAGAGTAAGAAGGAGCAGCAGAGTGACATAAGGGACATGGAACCTTAAAATAGAAGACATGGCAGTCTTCCAGTGATGAATTCACATTGCAAGCATGAGAGATTTCAGAAGAAATATTTTGGTCAGCGTAACTTGCCTTCATGCCTCCCCTTTCCCTCCCCACAGATGACCACACGAACAGTCCCTGGGGGGTGATTTACAATCAGTGGTCTTAACTGTGGTCTGAATGGAGTAGGATAATGACCACATAGAAGATCAGGAGACGGTGGCCTCCTGGATAACACCCCCAGCTCATAAAACAAGGAAAACCAAAACCACCACAGATTATTTTTACACAAAATAAAACCTGAGAGGAGGCATTCTCTCAAAATCTTCAGGGAGTCACAGTGACATCATCCCTGGGCACACAGGTACATGTAGCTCAGCAGAACACAGCACAGATTCACAAATGTGCCAAACCAGTAATTCTTTCAAGTAAAATAAGGAGAGAGGATACTCAAGAACCTTAAAACTTTGATGAGAAGCCTGCTCTATGCAGTCGCTCTTACCTATGACCTCTAAGATCTTCTAGGATATGTTTCAGTTAACTTTTGAGAAAAGTTTCCCCTTGCTAATGAAAATGTGTTAGTGTGATTGCAAAAAACTTGTCTGAAACTGGTCACCTTATTTCTAGTTCAGTGCTTTCACCAGCTGGCCACTTGACCTTGGATGGTCATTTGACTTTCTTGAGCCCTGCTTCCTCATCTGGAGGGAGAGGGCTAGTCTTTTCAGACTCTTGTAGCTCTGTGAGGAAGCCAAGGACCAAAAGCCCCTGAAGTGTCAGTGTTACTAGATGGAATCATACAACAAAATTGTAATCCATGGCATTAAATTCAAATAAGAAATAAGAAGCAATGAATAGTCTTCTGAAAGAGGAATTAAATTCTAATAAAAATGTGTGCCTCTGGTTCTGGAAGCTTGGCTTGGCACTGACCTGCTGCCGAGCCTCAGGGGCTCCTCAATCTAGCCACACAGCAGGGAGACTGAAGTCTCCTTCCCTGGAGGGTTGTTTACATGAAGCAAAGCACTGCAATCCTTGGTAACCTCCCTGGAGGGAAGGTTTGCCTCCTTCTGAGGGAAAGTTTCAGCAGTGAAGATAGTAGAGTAACTACATGAGGTAATGAGTTAGACAGACGTGGCTGAGGGGAAAGCCAGATATGGGACTGCCGACACTATCTGGGTTGGAGAAAGGTGCCTACTCATCACACTTCGTGATTCTGCCTCATCCTACTGTGGGTTTTCCCCTAGCAAAGCCAGAAAAATGAATCTTTGTTGCATTTGTCATAGCTATACGCCTGGATGCTCCCCAGTTGTTTCTCCTACCCTATTAGTTCTGGGTGGTATTTACCAGAATTTGCACTCTCTGAGCCTCTAGGCTCATTCTGATGCTGTCTTTATTCAGAGTTCAGTAGTATTTTCAAAGCATAGAAAACTTAGGTACTTTTAAGAGAACGTCACATTCCCAACTGCCCGAGAAGAAAGGGCATTACTCCTGCTCATTAATGCACGTCTCCTAAACTTATAAAAACAGAGGCCAGAGGGTCCTCATTTGGTGCATCACAGCAGGATTCCCACATGTGATAAAAGGATTGACCAAATGGCCCAGTTTCTGTTACAAAAATAGAAAGCTCATGAGAGCAAAGGTAGTATAGTCAGTACATAGATCCAGCAACTAGAACAGCTCTTGGCACATAGCATCTGCTCAGTAAATACTTATGGTATGGATGGATGGACGGATGGATGCAGAATTTTGAACCTAAAATCCTCAGATTCTCCAATCCTACAGTCTGTGTAAACTGTAATATCTCTTGCTCATCATTCACTCTCTCCTAAAATCTCCTACTCTTATCACATCTCCACATTTATCTGGTCCAGGGGACCCCCACAAGCATATAGACTGGTTGCTTTAATCTTAATAAAATTTATTTTAAAATAATAATTGCCACCATTTATTGAACATTTAATATACTCATTACTGTGCTAGATACTTTAACTGTATTACCCATTCGTGTCTCAAAACAACCCATAGCCATCGTATTACTTCCATTCAACAGACAAGGAAACTGAGGCAGAATGAATATTTTGCCTAAGACCACCTACCTGGTAAGCAGTGAGGCTGAGCTTCAACTCAGTCAGTGTGGCTCCAGACTTACTATATAAGCTCTGCCTTCTGGGAACTGGGCACTAACTGCAGACCTCTCAACAAGAGGAAAGGATGTTCAAGGTCTGTAGTTAGAATCTCTGGAGTATGTCAATGTTCTGTCAGGTTCTCCAAGGCCCCATTGGTTTTCTCTGTTAGTTTTCATCTGAGTTATAGAAGAGCATTCTTCAAAGTAGACAGAACATAGTCTATTCAAGACCAAGGACCAAACTTCGAACTAGTTCATTTCTACAGATAGAAAGTACACCGTCTAATTATATATTATACGTGTCTTCCATTATTACTATATACCAACACCCACTACAATTGGCCTATAATGGATGCTCAATAACTATTTGTTGAATTAATGAATAACAATAGAAAAATTCAAGCTAAAATTCTTGTTTTCGCCAGACAATATGAAATCATTATTAACTTTAGCATCTTCCATATTCCCAGCTCTATGTGGGCATTGTAAAAGATAAAGAGAGATGATTACTAGTGTCCCCACAGTCAGGAAACAAGGTTTAAAACCTGAAAGAAGTAGACTGCAATCTATTCTAAATTCACTAAAGCACTCAATACTTTCCTGTATCTCAGGATAGCCAAGTGTGTTCTTCTAGATTTTTTCTATGCATTTAAAATTATTTGACTTGGGCAAAACTGTCAAATCCATTTTAGAAATGGGAACATGAAGCACAGAAAGCTTTGCAACTCTGCCCACGATCACACATGTAGTGGGTGTCATGTCAGGATATGGAGGCATGACACAACCCATGTTTCAACTTCTCCCTACTCTACATGGTATAAAAAGAGGGGCTACCTCAGTGTCTTAGGGGCATGAAAGATTGACAAATATATTCACATATAGCAATGTGGTATTTTTTTCTCCATATGTGTTTTTTATGAATTATTTTATTTTATATAATTCTTACATAATTTTTCATTTTTGCATAATGTATGTGATTTCATTTTGGTTATATTCCCCATACAATTTCCACCCCCTTTTTCTGACCCTAATCCCTCTTCTCCTCCCCCCGCCTCCCACTGTAGTGTGTCTCTGGTCTATAGTTGCTTGTTGATTTTGATTTTTACTTTATTATAATTAGTCTTTTTTCTGGTCCCTATTTAGGTTTTCTAGATTCCTGCTATGAGTGAGACCATCCAGTATTTTTCTATTTCTTTCTGGCTTATTTCGCTGAGCATGATCCCTTCCAGCTCCATCCGCTGCTCCCCTCAGCAGTGTACTTTGGTCCTTCTGCCTGTTCTGTTCCCCGCTCTGGCTCTGGTGAATTCTCTCACCCTCCTGCACTTCTGGCTGTGCCCAGTGCTTGTATAAATAAATAAACAAATAAACAAACAAACAAATAAATAAATAAATAAACAAACAAACAAATAAATAAATAAATAAATAAATCTTAAAGAAAAAAGAATTCATTTATAAATCCATCTGGTCCTGGGCTTTTGTTTTTGGGGAGGTTTTTGATTACCATTTCAATTTCGCTGCTTGTAATTGGTCTTTTTAGGTGTTCTATTTCTTCTTTATCTAGTTTTGGGTGACTGTAGAGTTGTAGGAATTTGTCCATCTCATCTAGATTGTTGTACTTGTTTGCATGTAACTGTTCATAGTAGTTTCTGATTATTCTTTGGATTTCTGCTGTGTATGTTTTAATTTTCCTCTGTCATTTGTGATCCTATTTATTTGTGCTTTCTCCCATTTTTCCTTTGTGAGTCTGGGTAGGGGTTTGTCTATTTTATTTATTTTTTCTAAGAATCATATTTTCGTTTTGTTACAGAGCCACCCTGATATAAAATGGGTTGCCTGGCTGTGGGTCCTCACCTGGTACCTAAAAGGGACTTATTGATACTTCACTGCATGCACACACAAAAGGTTAATAAAAGGTTTATTTACAAGGGAAAGGGAAATGAGGAAATGTACAACTCAGGGAAAAAATAGGGAAATAAACTCTTAAATGTGTCCTACCCAATCCACCGACCTGGAAACCCAATAGCACTCTGAGAGCTGGCCAAGAGCCACAAGCTGGCGGAAAGCCAAAAGGGAACCTCCCCCACCAAGGCCCACATTCTAGTTTTATACCAAACCTGGCTGCTTAACTCCACCCTCAGGTCCCAGCCACCTTCCCTTTGGTGGTGACGGGATTTGTCTTTCCCAGTGTCCTGATGGCTTTGGTCTGGAGTGGGGGTGGAGTCCACAAAGCCTGTATGGAATTAGCTCAGGACATCCTTTCCCCCTAACAATTTCATTGATCTTTTGGATTGTTTTTTTAGTTTCAATTTCATTTATTTCTGCTTTGATTTTTATTATTATTTCTTTT